CATGAGGATGTGCTGAGAACGTCTTGAGCGAAACGCGTGTTTTCACGTGTCCAGGTCGCCCAGGCACAGCGCAGCCCTCGGCACGTTACATCAATATCGATACCTTTAGCATTGCGTGGCACGCTCCGCGGAACATCCCGTGGCGAACCCCCTTCTGGCACATCGCGCGGTGCACGTCCATTGGCACGTTCCGTAGCGCGTCCCGTGGGCACGTCCCGCGGTGCGTGCCCATGGCACGTCCCCTGGCACGTCGCCTGGCGCGTCCCTTGGGACGTTCCGCGGCGCGTCCTCCTAGCATGTCCTTTTGTCAATCAGCTCAGGGCAGCTACCATTTGTTCAAGCAGCTCGAGCTTAAGAACCAGATCAGTTCGGTCAGGATTCGGATGCGAAGAGGATTCGATCCACAACGCTATAGAGCACAATCGCGGCATGGCACATCGCAGTTCAGCACGGCCTAGCACAGCACAACCGTCGGCACGGTACATCAAGATCGATACACTGAACATTGCTCTTTGGCACGTTCCTTGGCGCGTTCCGTGGCGAGTTCCCCTGGCACGTCGCGCGGCACGTCCCGCGGCACGTCCCTTGGCACGTTCCGTAGCGCGTCCCGTTGGCACGTCCCGCGGTGCATGCCCATGGCACGTCCCCTGGCACGTGGCCTGGCGCGTCCCTTGGGACGTTCCGCGGCGCGCCCTCCTGGCACGTGAGGATGTATTGAGCGAGGCGCTTGTTGTGTTATAGTGAAATGCTTGTTTTCACATACCCAGGTCTTGAGGATGTCTCGAGCGAGACGCTCGGTTTCACGCCTCCAGTTGCCCGGACAGATGTCTAGCATGAGGATTTGTTGAGGATGACTCGAACCAGAGACTTGTTTTCACGTGTCCAGATCGCCCGGGCGGATGTCTAGCATGAGGATGTGTCGAGGAAGTCTCGATCGAGACGTTTGTTTGCACGTGGGTTGCCCAGGCGGATGTCTAGCATGAGGATGTGCTGAGAACGTCTTGAGCGAAACGCGTGTTTTCACGTGTCCAGGTCGCACAGGCACAGCACAGCCCTCGGCACGGTACATCAATATCGATACCCTTAGCATTGCAGTCTGGCATGTTGCTTGGCACGTTCTGCGGAGCGTCCCGTGGCGAGTCCCCCTGGCACGTCGCGCGGTGCACGTCCACTGGCACGTTCCGTAGCGCGTCCCCTTGGCACGTCCCGAGGTGCGTGCCCATGGCACGTCCCCTGGCACGTCGCCTGGCGCGTCCCTTGGGACGTTTCGCGGCGCGTCCTCCTGGCATGTCCCCCTGTCGATTAGTTTTGGGGCAGCTACCATCTGCTCAGGCAGCTCGAGCTTTAGATCCAGATCAGTTCGGTCAGGACTCGGATGCCAGGGAGGACTAGATCCACAACGCTATGCACGTCCCGCGGCACGTCCATTGGCACGTTCCGTAGCGCGTCCCCATGGCACGTCCCGCGGTGCGTCCCCATGGCACGTCCCCTGGCACGTCGCCTGGCGCGTCCCTTGGGACGTTCCGTGGCGCGTGCTCCTGGCATGTCCCCTCTGTCGATTAGTTTTGGGGCAGCTACCATCTGCTCAGGCAGCTCGAGCTTAAGATCCAAATCAGTTCGGCCAGGACTCGGATGCCAGGGAGGACTCAATCCACAACGCTATATAGAGCACAATCACGGCATGACATATGGCAGTTCAGCACGGCGTAGCGCAGCACAGCCCCCGGCACAGTACATCAAGATCGATATAATCAGTATTGCATTTGCCCGTCGCTCAATCAGGTGTCTTTGAAACGTTGCCATGCCTTACATGTCTATATTCCTTTCCGGGTTCGCGGGTCGATCATGTTTTGTTTTTTCCCGGAAAGGGCTGGGGCCCAGGGTTCTCTTTTAGATGGTTTACCCCCGGTTTCGACTTGAAGGGGGCCGGCGAAATTATTTTGCGTAAATAACGGAGTAAAGTGCTATGTTGTTTCGAAAAAGTGTGTTTCGTGCGTGCCCGCTCGAGGAAAGTGCGCCCCCCAAATGGATCCTCGATTAAAAACGGTGTCCGCAGACCTCCGTTTTCCCTAGTAAAAAAAGGGTGCGGAGCGTTTTTGCGGAATCCTCCACAAATAACGGGGTCTGGAGCCCCGACCGCGACGCGGAAAAGCGCCCCGCGCGCAGGAATTCCGAGGATGTCTCGCGCGTGCCGCGTCCCGCGCGCAGGAATTTTGAGGATGTCTCGACTAATTCGCTTGTTTTGTCAGGATTTTTTAGAATTTTGGTAGGATGTCTCGAGCAAGACGCTTTTTTTACATAGTTTGTTGAGGATGTCTCGAGGGAAACGCTGGTTTTGCAAAATTTGGGGATGTCTCGAGCGGGGGCCTCGTGGGGGGCCAGAATTCAGAGGATGTCTCAGGCGAAATGTTTGTTTTCACGTCCCGCTCGCAGGAATTCCGGGGATGTCTCGCGCGTGCCACGTCCCCGCGCGCAGGAATTTTGAGTATGTCTCGACTATTCGATTATTTTTCCAGCAGGATGTCCCTTGGATTTTGACCGGATTCTCGAGCGAAACGCTTGTTTTTCATAATTTGTTGAGGATGTCTCGAGCGAAACGCTGGTTTTGCAAACTTGGGGGATGTCTCGAGCGGGGGCCTCGTGGGGCGCCAGAATTCAGAGGATGTAGGGAAACACTGGTTTTGCAAAATTTGGGGATGTCTCGAGCGGGGGCTTCGTGGGGGGCCAGAAGTCAGAGGATGTCTCAGGCGAAATGCTTGTTTTCGTGTCCCGCTCGCAGGAATTCCAAGGATGTCTCGCGCGTGCCGCGTCCCGCGCGCAGGAGGATGTCTCGACTAATTAGTTTGTTTTGCCAGGATGTCCTTGGATTTTGACCGGTTGTCTCGAGTGAAACGCTTGTTTTTCATAATTTGTTGAGGATGTCTCGAGCGAAACGCTGGTTTTGCAAACTTGGGGGATGTCTCGAGCGGGGGCCTCGTGGGGCGCCAGAATTCAGAGGATGTCTCAGGCGAAATGTTTGTTTTCACGTCCCGCTCGCAGGAATTCCGGGGATGTCTCGCGCGTGCCACGTCCCGCGCGCAGGAATTTTGAGGATGTCCCGTAGCGCGTCCCCTTGGCACGTCCTACGGTGCGACCCTATGGCACGTCCCTTGGCACGTCGCCTGGCGCGTCCCTTGGGACGTTTCGCGGCGCGTCCTCCTGGCATGTCCCCCTGTCAATTAGCTCTGGGGCAGCTACTATGTGTTGAGGCAGCTCGAGCTTAAGATCCAGATCAGTTCGGTCAGGACTCGGATGCACAGGATGACTCGATCCACGAGGCTATAGAGCACAATCGCGCCATGGCACATCGCAATTCAGCACCGTGCAGCACAGCACAGCCCTCGGCAGGGTACATCAAGATCGATACACTCAGCATTGCATTTGCCCGTCACCCAATCAGGTGTCTTTGAAAACGCTGCCATGTGTTACAGTTCTATATTCCTTTCCGGGTTCGTGGGTCGATCATGTTTTACATAGTTTGTTGCGGATGTCTCGAGGGAAACGCTGGTTTTGCAAAATTTGGGGATGTCTCGAGCGGGGGCTTCGTGGGGGGCCAGAATTCAGAGGATGTCTCAGGCGAAATGCTTGTTTTCGTGTCCCGCTCGCAGGAATTCCAAGGATGTCTCGCGCGTGCCGCGTCCCGCGCGCAGGAATTTCGAGGATGTCTCGACTACTTCGTTTGTTTTGCCAGGATGTCCTTGGATTTTGACCGGATGTCTCGAGCGAAACGCTTGTTTTTTCATAATTTGTTGAGGATTTCTCGAGCGAAACGCTGGTTTTGCAAACTTGGGGGATGTCTCGAGCGGGGGCCTCGTGGGGGGCCAGAATTCAGAGGATGTCTCAGGCGAAATGTTTGTTTTCACGTCCCGCTCGCAGGAATTCCGGGGATGTCACGCGCGTGCCACGTCCCGCGCGCAGGAATTTTGAGGATGTCCCGTAGCGCGTCCCCTTGGCACGTCCTACGGTGCGACCCCATGGCACGTCCCTTTGCACGTCGCCTGGCGCGTCCCTTGGGACGTTTCGCGGCGCGTCCTCCTGGCATGTCCCCCTGTCAATTAGCTCTGGGGCAGCTACTATGTGTTCAGGCAGCTCGAGCTTCAGATCCAGATCAGTTCGGTCAGGACTCGGATGCAAAGGGAGACTCGATCCACGACGCTATAGAGCACAACGGCGGCATGGCACATCGCAATTCAGCACGGTGCAGCACAGCACAGCCCTCGGCACGGTACATCAAGATCGATACAATCAGCATTGCACTTGCCCGTCACCCAATCAGGTGTCTTTGAAAACGCTGCCATGCGTTACATTTCTATATTCCTTTCCGGGTTCGTGGGTCGATCATGTTTTTTTTTGTTGTTCTTTCTCTCTCTATGTATATGTGTGTGTACTAAGGCCGAACCTGAGGCCGAGCCTGAGGGAGACGAAGATAGTCGAGAGGAGCTGGTCAGGTTCTGGAGCCCTGCCTGGGTGGACGACTGCGGCCCTCTGCCGTGTGCCCGAGAGGCTGGGCGACGTCGTCTGGCGCCGCGCGCCCGAGAGGCCGCCACCGCCCCCGCTGGTGGAGGAGCAGCTGGTGCGACTGCCCCACTCGCGCCCGAACGTGGGACGACGAGCCCCTCGGGCTCGGATGTCCAGAGTGGCGGCGCTGAGGGTGACCGCCCACGGCGCCGAACAGAGAGGCGGTGGCACCAGCCTCGAGATGCACGCGGTGGCGCCAGGGACCAAAGCACCAGTACACGAAGATGTGGGAGGACCTCCAGGCGTGGGCGGAGCACCACATGCTGCCCCTCGCGCCGCCCAGCGCCCTGGACGGGACGCTCGCGGAGTACCTGGAGTACCTGTATTTCGAGGGCCACGGCGCAGGGATGGGCACGAGGCTGATCGCGGCCGTGGGGTTCTTCAACCCCGAGGTGTCGCGCCATGCGTCCTGCCGGCTGCCACGAACGCGACTCGCCGCGCAGAGATGGTTGCGCCTCTCGCACCTGCGCGCGCGGCTGCTGATCCCCCTGGAGGAGGTGGCCGCGATCGCGGTGACTATGTGCGGGCGCGGGGAGCGGCGGGCGGTTGCGGGAACGCTTCTGGCCACGATCTGCTACCTCCAACCCGGGGAGCTCGCGGTGAAGTTCCGAGACTTGCTGCCGCCGGGGGGCCTTCGCGGGCGAGGGCCATGCCTTCTGGGTGCTGCAGCTCCACCGCTTCGAGGAGGGAGAGCCCTCCAAGACGGGGCGGTTCGACGACTCGCTGGTCCCCGACACGAGGTACGCAGCGCTGTACACGTACATCGGCTTGCTGAAACGGACGGTACCCGAGTCGGAGCCGCTGATCGGCATGGGACAGCTCGAGTACAGCAGGCTGTTCAGCGACGTCGTGCTGGAGCTGAAGCTCAACGTGCCGGGCCCTCCATTGCCATCCCACTTACGGCATGCAGGCGCGTCGGACGACCGCGCCAACCTCGTGCGCGGACATCAAGAAGAGGGGAAAATGGTTGTCAGACGCGTCTGCGAGAAAGGAGGCAGACTTCGAGAACAAATGCTACGGCTACCTCCAGCGTTCCAGGCGCATTGTCGAGTCTGCCACCACACGTTCGGCGAGATCTTCCTCGGGCGAGCCAAGCCGTTGTCAGTGCCTCGACTGTTCCGATGAGCCCGGAACCGCCACCAGTTTTCTTGGAAATCTTCTCAGGCAGCGGACACCTCGCCCGCGCTTTTGGCCGAAGAAATTGGCTTTGCATCGAATGGCGCATCACGCGCCACGGAAAGTTCTCACCCACCAAACGCGCCAATGTTCAATTGATCATTGGGTGGATCACTGCTGGATCACTGTGTGGCCTCCACATGGGTACCCTTTGTGGCAGCCGGGGTCGGGGTCGTGATCGCCCGAACGGTCCACTTGCCCTCCTAGAAACGATGACGATGTGATGGGATATCGACACAGCCTGACGGCATCCCCGAAAGACAAGGAGAACATCCAAGTAGGCGACACTTTGATGAGAGCCTCTGTCACTTTAGTCCGCGCGTGCCTCCATATGCAGTTGCCCAGTTCGCTGGAAATCCTCGCGCTTCTCGTTTGTGGCTGGCCCCTCCCGTCTCACAGCTCCGTGGGCCCCAAAGTTCGTCAGTGTGTCCTCGATTTTTGTGCTTATGGCACGCCGTGGCGCAAGCGCGCATGTTTCTGACATTGGCAAGTCAATTTCGCTAGCTGCAGTCGCCTCTGCTCCTCCAAACGCGGCTGTTGTGATTTTAGTATATGCAAGCATGTGGAGCTAGTCGGAAAGGATCCTCAGGGTGTCTTTCGCACTGCCGCTGCTGAACCCTATCCTCCCAAATTGTGTGCCGCTATCGCTCAATTCTATGCCAATGCTAACGCCTGCAGAAGAGTGTCCTCTCTGGCTAAAGCAGCCGCAGGCTCTAATTCCATTCGGCAAAGTTTGGAATTGATCATGTCGAATTCGATTCCTTTGGAGAGGGCGCTGCGAGCCCTTCGTGAAGCCCTTGGCTGACTGCTGCGCCGCCTGATCCTGATGAAAACATGTCAGCGCAGCGTGGTTTCTTGGTCTCGGCGGCAAGGATTGCGCATCTGAGATTGTCATGCCTGCGAGCGTCGACGCCGTTTCCCCGCAGCTTCTCGGTACCCGCCCACCCACTTTCCTTTTTCCCCGGAAAGTGCATAGGCCCAGGGTTCTATTTTGGCTTTGTTACCCCCGGATTCGACTTGAAGGAGGCCGGCGGGATTTATTTTGCGATGAATGGCGAGTTTGAAGGAGGCCGGCGGAATTATGTTTGATGATGTGTCGAGCGAAACGTTTTTTTGTTTCCAGAATTTGTTGAGGATGTATTGAGCGAGGCGCTTGTTGTGTTATAGTGAAATGCTTGTTTTCACATACCCAGGTCTTGAGGATGTCTCGAGCGAGACGCTCGGTTTCACGCCTCCAGTTGCCCGGACAGATGTCTAGCATGAGGATTTGTTGAGGATGACTCGAACCAGAGACTTGTTTTCACGTGTCCAGATCGCCCGGGCGGATGTCTAGCATGAGGATGTGTCGAGGAAGTCTCGATCGAGACGTTTGTTTGCACGTGGGTTGCCCAGGCGGATGTCTAGCATGAGGATGTGCTGAGAACGTCTTGAGCGAAACGCGTGTTTTCACGTGTCCAGGTCGCCCAGGCACAGCGCAGCCCTCGGCACGTTACATCAATATCGATACCTTTAGCATTGCGTGGCACGCTCCGCGGAACATCCCGTGGCGAACCCCCTTCTGGCACATCGCGCGGTGCACGTCCATTGGCACGTTCCGTAGCGCGTCCCGTGGGCACGTCCCGCGGTGCGTGCCCATGGCACGTCCCCTGGCACGTCGCCTGGCGCGTCCCTTGGGACGTTCCGCGGCGCGTCCTCCTAGCATGTCCTTTTGTCAATCAGCTCAGGGCAGCTACCATTTGTTCAAGCAGCTCGAGCTTAAGAACCAGATCAGTTCGGTCAGGATTCGGATGCGAAGAGGATTCGATCCACAACGCTATAGAGCACAATCGCGGCATGGCACATCGCAGTTCAGCACGGCCTAGCACAGCACAACCGTCGGCACGGTACATCAAGATCGATACACTGAACATTGCTCTTTGGCACGTTCCTTGGCGCGTTCCGTGGCGAGTTCCCCTGGCACGTCGCGCGGCACGTCCCGCGGCACGTCCCTTGGCACGTTCCGTAGCGCGTCCCGTTGGCACGTCCCGCGGTGCATGCCCATGGCACGTCCCCTGGCACGTGGCCTGGCGCGTCCCTTGGGACGTTCCGCGGCGCGCCCTCCTGGCACGTCCATTGGCACGTTCCGTAGCGCGTCCCGTTGGCACGTCCCGCGGTGCGTGCCCATGGCACGTCCCCTGGCACGTGGCCTGGCGCGTCCTTTGGGACGTTCCGCGGCGCGCCCTCCTCCTGGCATGCCCCCTTCTGTCGATTCGTTCTGGGGCAGCGACCATCTGCTCAGGCAGCTCGAGCTTAAGATCCAGATCAGTTCGGTCAAGAATCGAATGCCAGGGAGGATTCGATCCAACGTTATCCAGAGCACAATCGCGGCATGGCACATCGCAGTTCACACGGCGCAGCGCAGCACAGCCCTCGGCACGGTACATCAAGATCGATGCACTCAGCATTGCAATTTGGCACGTTCTAGGGCGCGTCCCGTGGCGAGTTCCCCTTGGCTCGTCGCGCGGCGCGTCCCTTGGCACGTCCCGTGGCACGTCCATTGGCACGTTCCCTAGCGCGTCCTTTTGGCAGGTCCCGCGGTGCGTCCCCCTGGCACCGTCCCTTGGCACGTCGCTTGGCGCGTCCTTTGGGACGTTCCGCGGCGCGTCCTCCTAGCATGTCCCCTTGTCAGTTAGCTCTGGGGCACCTACTATGTGCTCAGGCGGCTCGAGCTGAAGATCCTGATCAGTTCGGTCAGGACTCGGATGCAAACGAGGACTCGATGCACAACGCTATAAAGCACAATCGCGGCATGGCACATCGCAGTTCAGCACGGCGCAGCACAGCACAGCCCTCGGCACGGTACATCAAGATCGATACATTCGAAAGAGCGTGTTCTACCGCTGCTGGCGGAAAACCGGGGGGGGTCACTACCGGTTCGAACCCCTCCCCCCCCCCCTCCCCCTCCGGAAAACCGCGGGGGTCTCACTACCGGTTTCGAACCCTCCCCCCCCCCCCCCCCCCCCTGCTCATCATGAAAAGGGGGGGGGGACACTACCGGTTCGAACCCCTCCCCCCACCCCACCCCCCCCTCCGGATCCGGAAAACCGGGGGGGGTCACTACCGGTTCACACCCCCTCCCCCCCCTCGAAAACCGAGTGGGGGTGCGGACAGTGGTGGGGACGGTGTTGGTGGGGACAGTGGTGAGGGGACAGCGGGACAGTGGTGGGGACAGTGGGACAGTGGGACAGTGGTGGGGACGGTAGTGGTGGGACAGTGGTGGGGACAGTGGTGGGAACAGGGGGGACAGTGGACAGTGGTGGGGACGGTGGTGGTGGGGACAGTGGTGTGGGGACAGTGGGAATGAGGTGGAAACAGTGGGACAGTGGAGGGTACAATGGTGGTGGGGACAGTGGTGAAGGCGGTGGCGAGGACGGCGGTGGGACAATGGGACAGAGGTACAGTGGGGACAGTGGTGGGGACAGCGGGGACAGTG